CTCTCTCTCTCTCTCTCTCTCTCTCTCTCTCTCTCTCTCTCTCTCTCTCTATGTTGCAATTGTTTTTTTAATCGCAAAATCTGCTGAAGTTGCTTTCAATTGCAGATGTTTCGAAGACTCATTTTCCGTGGCATTTTTTTAGTCCAACAATTTTCATACATTTCCACAATAAATGCTTGATTATATGGGGGCTGGCGATCAAATGAACTTGTTGTTTTCATGTTCAACCATCTGCACCACCTCATTTCCAAGTTTAAAATCGTTTAGAAGTCTTGGCTTCATCCAAGTTCATCAGCTTTACAATTCTGAAATGAATTAGAGAAGATTTGAGTGTGTATGCGTGTGTTCATTCAGTCTTTTTCAATTACTTCTCTTAATTATTGTTTTCTCAAATGTTTTTCTTGTTTTCACACTTATCAGTTATCTCTCTCTCTCTCTCTCTACCTACTCTACCTATGTATTATGATGATGAGTGACATGACTATGAGACATAGAGACAGAGGCACTATGTATAGAGTGAGAAAGGCAGGAGGAAGAATGATCTCTTAACAAATATATATATAAAGAGAGAGAGAGAGAGAGAAACAGATAGGCGGAGATAATGCGTAACTGAGAGGGAGAGTGAGAACTATTTTGCATTTTGAGTGAATTCCTTTTAAATATAATCAAGGAGAAGCTTATTGCCTACTTACGAGAGTAAAGAGGATCGGCAAAAGGAAGAAGCAGGTACACCTCACTGCTCGGCTCATCAATTTTTCTCCAAAAAATTCTGAACGTCCAGTCGCAGCATACACACACACTCACACACATACACCATACAGACTCGTCTTGAGCATCATTTTGCATCCAAAAAACAAAAGAAAACAAGAGTTGAGTTGATGAGAGAGTAGACGAAGCTCAAAGTACAGAATGTTTATGTGTATGATAAGTTATCTTCATTAGAAGGCTAACGGAAGTTCGGACGGAAAGGGAGGAAAAGCCTTTTATTAGACACACCTCTTCCAATCAATTATTTTTTTGAAAAAAAAAGAAAAAGAAGATGATGAACTCTCTCTCTCTACCTATATATCTCTCTCTCCCTCTTTCTCTCTCTCTGTATTCAGTCGATTCTTCTTGTTTTTCTTTGTTTTCTTCAAATTCTTAATGTTTCATCCTCTCTGGTGAATTCTTCTTTCCTTTTTCGTTTTTCTTTCTTCTTCTTCTTCTCATTTATTTTTTTAAAATATGAGTCGAATTTGAAAGTCTCTTCGTATTCAAGCGAACATTTCTGTTCATCTGATGGAAGACATGTCGTCATCTGGAGGTCAATGTGGCTATACAGAAGAAGTTAGTACTCTTCGATTTCTATACATATCGTTCTCAGGAATTATTGCTATAGCAGGTAATTTCATTTTTAAATGTTTTTTTGGCTTTTATTCAATATGAGATGAGATATATGAATAGAGAAGAGGATATAGAGAGAGCTAGATGATACAACTCAGAGAGAAAGAGTCATAGAGAGAAGGATGTTGATAGAGAGAGAGAGAGTCATACATCTAGAGAAGGAAGAGATTTTCAGGGAAGGTGGGCAGAGATGAGAGGATGTCGAGCAGATGAGAGGGCTTATGCCTAAAATATATTTTTTTCTTTAAAAATATGGAGAAAAAGGAAAAGAAAATTCTATTTATTGCAGGTTTTATCTCGAATATCCTTCTTCTATACGTCTTCACAACAAAACGGATGGCAAACAGTCCGCCGAACCTCTATCCGGCAATTCTGTCAATCCTTGATGCCATCCTCTGTTTACTGTTTGTATTCGTGTTCGTTCTAGATGTCAATATGATATATCTGAAGAATCTGGTGAGTGCACACACATCATGATGATGAGGATGATGATGATGACCATCAACAAGAGCTTACATCTCCATTTATAGAAATTATTTATATTATATCATCAATACATAATCGTGGCCTTTGCAACAGCTAAGATAGTTCAATTCTTGATACCTTATATGCTCATGTTAGCGACGTTTGAACGCTACACATGGATAACGAACAAGTTTATTATGCTAATTATGCTTTTAATTAATGTTTTTAACTATTTTGCAGTCGAAAGTACGGTTTTCTGAAGCCGAACGGACGATATATCTCATTAATATTTATAACCATATTTGGTATATCGTTACGCATGCCATCAGCGTTATCATTGAAAGTAGCCGAGTTTACAAACTGTACAGATGCTTTTCGTCGTTTAGCTGTTGATCAGAAAGATTGGGCCAAAGTAAGATAATAATGATGTTGATTAGCATATTACTGATGATTGTAATGTATTATAGGAAGAGGAATTCTTCGTCTTCTATGATTTCTATGCCATCACTTTACTACAAACCTTTCTTCCATTCATTATTCTCATGGTTTTAAATATTACAATTGTTAATCGATTATCACAAATTGATACGAAAAATAGAAATGTTAAAGAGGACAAAGTTCTACTTCATCATCTCTTAACTATCTGAACATTTTCATTTTAGATTGTCATTTCCAAACGACGCTCTACTCGACTCATTCAAACTTTCAAGTTTCATCGAATGCCAATGACCGTTCGAAATGCCGTTTTCACTATGGTTCGTTGGTATTATCCTTCTTTCGTCTATTCTTTCTTTTCCATCTTTTTTTTTGAACATCAAACATCTTCATGAACACAAAAAATTATGTGAAAGAGACAGAGGAGATGAAATCTCAGAAACAACCGTTCACCCTAGTGCCTATGCGGGTGAACTGAACGGGGACAGCAAAGACAAAAAAAATTGCGAACTGTCAACAGACTGAGAAAGAAAGAGAGAGAGAGATGAATGAAGAAACAGAACAGAAACAAAATATTCCTTTTACAGGTTGCGATTGTCTTCTCATATTTGATCTCGAACACTCTTCACATCATACTAACCGTGTTGGAAGTTGGAAAAGCATCTATTCTAGTGGAGTAAGCGATAGATTCAAACATAACTAAAGCTCAATGTATTTGTAGAGATGACGATCCTTATAAGGCGTCAATGATTTATACCATATTGGGTGATGGAGTGTCCATATTATACATGTTTTCATCTGCTATACGCATAGTCATTTATACAAAATGTAATCGAAACATTCGAAAACAGTTGTTAAGCATTTTATTTCCAAAATATTCGTCAAAAATGAAATCGAGTGACTCGCGCAGTCAGTCATATTCATTGAAGAACGAAATTGAATCTCAACAATACGTGTAACTGAACAAGAACGGGTTATTAAATATGTTTATTTGAATCCTCTTTTCTAATCGAAAGACAAACTTGAAAGCACCGAGATATCTGTTTTAAGCAAATCATTTTCACTTGTTTTGTCACTCAAAACCAATTATGAAGCACAGCGTGATGGAGCTGCTGATGTTTGGGAGTTTCGAGGAAAATGAGCTGTCCTTATACGGGTTGTCATCTTCATTGGTCCAATTGATGAATATTTTATTACTCTATCCGTATAATAGGGCTGAAATAAACTTTTTTCATCCTTTCTATCCTTTGATGCTATGTTTCTACTACTGCTGCTGCTAGTGATGCTGCCGCACACACACACATACACATCACATATTCATTCTTCCTCCTCTCTCCCTTTCACTCACCTTATCCCTTGGCGCACTTTTTTCTTGACGTAAGACTGTTCTTTCAGCTCTCTTTGCTGCTTCAGAAGTAGAAGAATTCATGCAGAAGAACTAAGGAAAAGCTTCTTGAAAGTCAATGGTCAAAAAACAAAAACCTCATGAAGAATTCCTTTTTCGGCAGCGGGTTGACGACGAATGGGCGGCAACGATGGTTTCACAAAAACAACTAAAATGGGAAGTAACAAAAAGGTTAAACGTTTAATCTTTTTTTGTTTTAAGGATGTTGTTCACTTGGTAGAAGACGTAAAACAATACCTGGTGGTCCTTTCTTTGACTGATGTTGAAGGGAGGATGACGACAATGACGATGAATTGAACGACGTATGTTGTGTTTGCTCCATAAAAGGACTTGCTTGATTACATCGCAAAGGGAACGGCTGATGTTGTTGGATGTTGTTGGATATTTCTTGCAAAGCTTGAGAGGGAAGGTTGAAGTGAGGATTTTGTTGATAAGTAGAGTAATTGGCAAAATTGATTTGATGCTCATATTGAGAAGTCATGTCTAAACAAGGAATCATGATGTTGTCATCAAAGGTAGTACTATTAGAGAGAGATCGTATTAGAAGAGACATAAGATTAGTACAGAGAAACAAAGATAACAAATGAGCATTAAGGACAAGTTCGGAGGAGGGGCTTCGTTCGAAAGGCGGGACGATACTGTTCATAATCATAAAAAAAGGATTTTGTGAACAGTTAACTCTTCATGTTCTCATCTTTGACGGATATGGATATGTGTATGTGAATGTATATGTTCATATGTGATGTGGTTACTATGAGAATCCATTGCCATTGGATAAAAGCCTTTGCTGTCCTTGATAACAGGGCGAATTGATTGAAAATACTGAAAATCATCTTGTGAAGGTCAGCAGAGTTTATTTAATTCCTTCATAACAATGAATTCCTGCAGATTACTTGTTTGGTTTCTCTTACAAACTTCCATTTATGGTAATTTCATTTCATTCATGCTCATTCATTCATTTATTTTGTGTTAAGCTCAGGAATGGCCAGCTAATCTCGGTAATGTTGAAGCATAGTCGTATAGAGTATTGATTGATTGAGGCTCATTCACCTGTGCACCAAATGAGATCTTCTACAGTCCCTGTAGACCATGTGATAAACTATGTGATCAAGCTGATCTGAATGTACTCTCATTATATTAATTCTTATAATTTATGCTCATCAGGAGAGTTGTAATGAACTCACATCATGTACTGCCGGCTGCGCCTGTGCTTTAGGTTACCTTCGCACCTCAGATGGAGCTTGTGTGAATTCGTTCATGTGTTCATCTACTGCAAAAAACGAAACGAATGGAATAGATGGTAAATGAGAAACATAAAAAAAAGGCAACCGTTTGACATCTGAACGAATCACATAATGACACGTCGTTGATGTGACGTGTAAAGAACCACGTGGATCACGTGAAATACACGTGTACTTAGGATGTTTGCATTATTTTTTTGTTGATATTTTAGAAGAGATAAGCATACCAAAAACTAAGTGCTATGAAGGTTATTGCAAGAAAGAAGAATTCTGTATTGAAGCTGGCATTGGAGCACTTTGTTTATCATGTGAGCAAGAGGAAATGGTATTCAAATTCAATTATCATTAATATTCAGCAACACTGACTACTACACCACAACCAACAACAACAACAACAACAACAACAGTGGAGTCAGCTGAAGCTGTAATGCCAGCTGAGAGAGAGGTAATGAACATACAAATGAGATTGTATAGTAACTTGTATGTGTATTGAAGAGTAAACCTATTTCTAAGTGTCAAAATATGAAATGTGCTCATGGCGGAATGTGTTTTGAAATATTTGGAGAAGCTCGATGCTTTGCTTCACCTAGTTTGAATTGTTATTTTTGTGACAAAAAAACTTGTTTTCATTTCAGTTTGTCGGAATGTTCTTGAACGTTGGTATGATTGTGTGCCATGTGAAAGTGAATGTTCAAATCGAACAATCATACAAAAAGTAATTTTTGTTTTTTATTAAATATAATTGAAAAGTGACTGTTGTACAGACATGTCAGGAAGGGTGTCGACCAGGATGTGCATGTCGACCACATTTCATACGTGAGAAAGATGGATCGTGTACTTTACCAATCGTCTGTCTAAATGATTTCAAGCCATTGCCAATTATTAATTTGGAACCTTTGGTCGTTGTAGGTGAGAAAATGAATTTAAAAGAACGGAGAATTGACTACACAACTTGTATTTGTAGATACGAGAATGGATAGAAACAGAAAGAATACTTTGCCTTCCATCTCATCTTCTTCATCATCATCGTCGTCATCAGAAGAGACAGAAGATGAAGGAGCACGTCCCTACGAATAGAATTCTGCTTGTTTCAGAATGTTAAATGGCATATCACAATAAATAAGACAATTCTGAAACATGTTGAAGATGTATGTAGAGAACATGATTGCATAGCACACTCATCACCTTCATCGTCTCGTATTCAAATGCTTTCTCACAGTTCTCGGGACAACGTGGAAAGAAGCGACGTGATTGAAGAGGAATGAAGAGACAGAGCACGAGTACGTAATGAATAAGCATTCGCCTCCTCCATACAATGCAAAACGAAACAAAAAAAAGTTTATTTTTTACATTAAAAAATATAAAAACTTGTTCATGTTTTGTATGGAATTAACCGCATTGCCCAATGTAGTTATGAGTACAGATCGTTGGAATTTGATTCCATTTTGGGGAAGAGTCGACGTCGAATTTCTTCAATGCGATGACAAACATCTTGACAACGAACGACAAATTCCTTAAATGGATGTTTTCTTTTTCTAATTATAATTCTTAAATATTAGTTTGAATTACCGAATTTTGACATTTGGCCAGACAAACATCCGTCGTATCTTTGCCATCATCATCAGCCGATGTCAATGGTACAACCGAAGCGATAAGACAAAGCACCAAAAAAGCTGTTTGAAACATTATTTCCTTAAAAGAACAAAAAATTGCTTTCACAGATCAAAAAATGGAGGTTTGACGAGAGACAAGAAGGCGAACGAACATGATTCGAATGAGTTGAAATGGCCGTTTTATCTCCTATTTTCCCTTAATTATTCATAATCACTGCTGATATGTTAACGATCAGCTGTTCATTAATTAACATTCACCAAATATAGTATTTCTCCTCTCAAATCAGACAAGTCAGAGATCAACTTGGAATTATACTTCCCAATAGATATGGTAACCTCTATGATTGATTCTCTTTACCTCCCCCCCCCCTTCTCATGTGCTCATCCTCTTCCTATTACCCTCTCTCACTCTCTATCGCTCATACCATGCATTTCAATGTCAAAAAACATTTTTTGAATAAAAAAAACAGAAAAGAATGAAAATCTCTTAACCTCATGATCTCATAACCTATTTTCTTGTTGTTCCTTAACTATGTACATATGTTTATATTAACCACTTTCCTTAAGACTTGATTTCAATTGGCCTACAGCTTCTTCCATATAAGAAGAGGAATCCCCCCTCCCATACCATCACATCCATTACGTTGTCATCTGCTTGGTCGTTGTCGTCATCACCGTCTTCTTCTCGTGTCATCAGATATGCGAACTTTGAAATATTTTTGAAACATTTTTTTCGAAACTGTATCTCACATTTCACGTACTGAAGGTCACTATCTCTCTCTTTCTATTTTTCTCTCTCTTTCCATCTCCCTCTCTCTATCCTGCACCATATCTCTAGCCACTTATTTTAAGCCATTTCGTTTTGCTATCATTACATCTCCATTCTTCTTGCCTCTCTCTCTCTATCTCTCTCTAACTGTTACTCTCCTTCTCTCTCTTCCTTTCTCTCTCTCTTACAGTCACTAAAGACGAAATTCTCCCAATTTTCATCTTTTTTCTCTTATATTTCCCCTCTTTTCTTCAATGTCGTCGTCGTATTGCATCCATCCTTTCACCCCAAAAGAACCGTCTGATCTCCAATCCATTTGCCCCCTCCTGTACTCCCCCCTCCTTGCATCATCACCTTCGCCCATCATCCACCAGGCGCACAGTTCTTCTTCCTCTCTTCCACTCCCTCCCCCCCTTGGAGACATAATTCGTCAAGAAGAATGACGTGTTCGGAACACCTTAAAAACCTATTATTTTTCATATTTTAATTAATATTTCCGATGATTCATCATAACACAAATCGCTTTAACTGTTCTCCTTCTTCTCATCCATTGTAGCCGCTTCTCTCTCTATTTGGTTTCATATCATTTTCTCTACGAAATATACTATTCATAAGGAAACAAGTTAAACAGGAATAACTGGCTATTGTCTTCAATTTTTTTCTGTTTTACCCTTTAACATCTCTCCATCTCTCTCATCCTCTCTCTCTCTCTAACACATACACTCTTACTATCTCTCTATCTCTCTGTTACTTCTTTAACTTACCTTCTATCGTTTCTCTCTATCAACATCAGCTTGTATAGTTAAATTTCCTTTTACTATATAGGAATGTTTCGTTGCAAGACCCTCAAGTGTCGAAATTACCTTCAATCTCATAACAACCAAACAAAACGAAAAGAACGGCAAAAGAGTTAGTCAAGTGTCATCTTCAGTCAGCCAAATTAGCTTTTTTTGTCAGTTCGCTGTCTAAGCTATACCATATATGGTTAAAATCTGGTTTTTATAAAAAAAAAAAGATTTTTAAGAGTTTTAGTTAGTTATTATCGGATTATTGTGTGTTGTGAAGGTTTCTTCTTCTCTTCCCTTCACACCCCCCCCCTTACTCCCGTTGCCCCTTATGGCTGTTGAGATCTTTGACCATAAATGGATTATTTCAACAAAAAACATAAATGTTGTTTTCGATAAAAAGTACAATTTATTTAACAAATTCCATCAATTATCATTACTGTACGACCTACTTATACTCTACTTTATGCTAATTAAACGTCCTTTTTTCATTTTTTTGTTTAGTTGTCTTATGGAGAGCGGTCGTTCCTTTTTCGTTTTCATTGTATTCGATTTGTGACTTCAGCTCATGGATAACTACATATCTGTGGATCCTCTGACTAATAAACCAGTAGATTGTTGGAGAAAGTATGTAAATCAAGGACGTATTTGTGAGCCAATTCGGACTTTGAGGTTCGTCCCTCTCTCGCACTCCTTCTCTCTCTCTCCCTTCTCGTCCCTTCTATGTTCATCTGTAGAATAGTTCATTCGACAAGTTTCCGTCATTTTCTTAGAAACTTCTTCTTATTTAAACTTAGAATTTCTAGTTTTTGTTCATTTCAGAAGCTCTAGTCTTCTTCTTCTCTTCCTCTCATTCTTCCCAACTCTCTCTCTCTCTCTCTATTACTCTCTCTTTCTGTTCCTCCTGAAATAGAATCATTACAGATTGAACACACCGATATTTGAGAATAAAATTCGTTTTGTATGTATCTCGGACACTCACAGTAAATTAGACGAAGTGACAATCAAGCAAATGATTCAAAAAAGTAATTTGTATTAGTTATAGCTGATTCCAACAATTCCCGATGGAGACGTTCTCATACACGCTGGAGATTTCACTAATGGCGGAGATTTAGGCGAAGTTATCAAATTCAATGCGGAAATTGGTAAAAAACGAAAAATATGATTATCGAGTCATAATAATTAATAATTGAAGGTCTATTACCTCATAAACATAAAATAGTCATAGCGGGAAATCATGAATTAGGGTTCGAAGATGGCGAAAGATTGAACGATCGTCAATTAGCTGGATTAAGTATGCTAGGAATCAAGAAGCCTTACGATTTGTTATCAAACTGTACTTATGTGTGTGATAAGATGATAGAAGTCAGTTTTCTCATTCTTTCTCAATCATATTCTATTTGCCTTTAGATTTATGGAATCAAGATATACGGTACTCCATGGCATTGTATGCCAGGCTATTCATTCTATCGACCTCGCGGACAAAAAATTCTTCATAAATGGAATCAAATTCCATCAAAGATTGATATTCTAATCACTCATACGCCTCCATTAGGTGAGTTATCAGTAATGAGACATGAATTAACCAATACAATCTATTATTATCATCTAATTTCTATTTTTCTCCTTCTCATTAAAGGACATGGAGATTTTAACTCTTGGAACAAGATGGATGGCATACTCGCTGGTTGCGCTGAACTCTTGAATACTGTAGAACAGCGCGTAAAACCAAAATATCACATATTTGGTCATGTACATCAAGTAAGCCCCATATATTCTAATGTCTGTTGCATATTCATTTAAGATGCACGGCACGACAACCAATAAGGAAACGACATTCATAAATGCCTCCAGTGTAGATCATAAGCTGCGATCAGCATATCCGCCAATCATATTTGATTTCCCCATCCCACCTGGATACAAGAAATAACAAAATCTTTGAATATGCTATTTGATAGCAAACAATCATATCTACATATAAGTAATCTCATCTATCTGTATATAGCTAAGGATATGATAGAACAATGATAGTCAGTTGTCATAATGGATCTCTTCTATTGTCTTAAAGCTTTTTTTCTTCGAATGAAACAATGAAATCCATCAGTCAAAGCTCTTCAATTTGTTAGTTTATTTGAGTTTTTTTTCCTTTTCTCTTCTCTGCTAAATGAAAAAGTGTCAGTGCTTGTGTTTTCTGTGTTTTTCCTTCTTCACGAGGTGACCGTTCGCCGTCCAATCAGCGTGCGAGAATCAGCTCTTTCAAGAGCTTTATGTCAATATTTCATCTTCGCTTAAAGTTTCTCTAATTCTCTCTTATTCTCTATTATACTGCTTATCCTTTTTTTTTTCATTTTTCTAATGAACATTTGTTTGAATATATATGAATAAAGGAGAAACTGGACAAAAATCCGGCATGACCTATGCGTTTACCAATGAGAAATTTAATTTGAAACACAACCGTTCTGTACAACTGAATCACATGTAAATGAATATGGACGCCGTTCCACGTATGCTAATTTCAACAAGCCACTTGCTCATCTCACGTATGCTAATTTCGACAAGCTTCTCTTTCTCTCATCTGTGCGCGTGCAGAATACAGTAAACGTCTTCTTCACGTATGTTATGCTAATTCGTACGAACTACGTCATTCTTCCCATATTTCGAAATTTTTCGAACTTTTCTGCAACATTTCGAAGCAAATCTGGATTTTGCTCTGGAATCCAGAAACTATCGTTTCTCTCAAGCTCTTCCCTCCGCATTTCAACAATAGTTTTTATTCGTAGAAGATGAACGTCAGCAAACGAATTTCAATGAGGCAGAGGCATGATAAGAGGACAATTGATTAAAACAAGATCCTTCAAGTGGATCTGAAAATAGCTTGGGGGCAATTTCTCTTATCATCATTCCTGTGTGTGCACTATTGTTATGTTTATCCGATGACCCTCAGGTATTTCATCATCCTTATCTCTCTCAAGCTAATTCTGAAACAACGAGAGGAGAAGCTGACGAAGAAGCTCTCTAATACTTTCTCTCACATTCCCTTTCTATCGTCAAACTCATTCCTTTCTTTCTCTTTCTCTCTCTTTCCAAAGTCGTTTAGTATAATCTCTCTCTTTCTCTCCCTCTTTTGCCTTATCGGGCTCAAAGAACCGCTAACAGCCTCTAAGACTATTCAAAATACCGTGGGGCTTAAGAAGCGAGCAGGTTCACTAAGCGCCTCGGAGCTGACTGTTAAGCCGACGAGAGGTTAAGCAGCTGCTCATGAACTCGCTCTATCTTAGCAGCAACCGGTCACTCAAACAGTACCTCCGATATCGGGCGGTCTCTTTTCCACCCTGAGGCAATATAGTCCGCCCACTAGTAGGAGCTTTGGAAATCAGTCATTCTTCAAATTATATCATCTACAGTCTTCTGTTTCAGAGAAGCTCTTTGCCTCAGGGCATCCCCACTCTTCTTTCATGAGTTATCTATCCCCCCCCCCACTTCAGAAACGATTTCTTTGTAATCTACTAACGTCTTCGTCTCCTCCATTAAGCAGCCTATTCTATAGTTTTGTAAATTCATTTTTCCATATGCATTGCAATTCGGTGAGATGATTCTATAAGTTTTATATGAAATAGTACTGTGAATAGAGAGAATAAAAGAAAATGGTCGCAATGGCCAAGAGTCTGCTTCAGGCGCTGGTAATGTCCGAAAAGTGTTTGCTCTGTTCTTGGTTGTCTCGTTTCTCCAGCTGAATGAACTTTCGCCTTCCCTTTCTGTTTCTTCACCGTCATCGTCGCCTGTCGTTGTCGTCCTCGTCAAAGCTGAGTTGATGGTCATTTCAGACAGTGTTGAGCGAGCATATAACTGAAAGAGTGTGAGAGAATTTTGAGAGTAAAAACATAGAGAATTTTCCGTATCTTAGCCTCAACTCTCCCCACCTCCCTTCCGTTCAAACTCGCTTCAGTCTCAGAATGTATTGTTCTCTTGCTCACGCTTCCAACGGCCAACTGACCACTACCTTTGACCCTATTAGAAGGCATTCATATGCATATTTGAATATTTTTCATACATTCTTTTCCATTTCATGTCATATCGTGTCTCTCACATATAATTTTCTTAATTATATTATTGTTTTAGCCGCCAAAAGCACCAAAAATGCGATTGTCGTGGTTTCTGATTTCCTTATTGGCCATCGGTGTCTTCGCCGACGAAAAGAAAGAAGAATCGACTACTACAGTCGAACCAGTAACAGAAGCAAAGGAAAAAGTTGAGGTTCGGTTTTCAACTTTCATCATATTATCCATAACCATCTCTGTCTCTCTATATCTCTTGTTCTCTCCTAATCTCATACTCTCTCTCTCTATCTTAATAAGTTTGTTGCCCAAATACTTGAAAGTGATCAGTTCACTACAATCCTTCCATCTTCATGTATTTTTAGAAAAAAATCCACTTTTTTGAACCCAAATTTGTTTTGTTTGCTTTTTTTCTTTTCATATTTGTTTTTTCGTTTCGAAACATTCTCACAGAATCATCTGTGATCTGAGAGGATTTAAAGGAAAATGATGTCATTTTGGCTGATCATCCCATCTATGGAGAAGAGATGAATCATGAAGAGATGCAAATATTCATATTTTCGTACAGTTTAATTGGAAAGTCTTAATTTATTTCGTTGCTCTTCTCTTCTAGCCGTCAACCCTTCTTCTTCTTCATTCTGTTCTCACAGATATTTCTTTTCTCTCTCTATCTACTTCTCTGTCTCTCATCCATTATGTGTATGTTTAAGTAGTCACAAAGACAAACGTTTAATATACAAAGAGAAATTTTCTCTTTGCTAAACTTCTCCGAATCAAATCACCTAATGAAGTGTTTCTTCTATTAAGCATCTGTAGTAAAGCTTCATCTTCTCTTCAGGAACCCACAAAAGCCACGAACGAAACCAAGCCTGTAATCCGAGCAAAGAGACAGTGTTGTTATGCTCAACAGACTAGTTGTTGTGCTGCTTCTTCTTCAAACAGCTGTAACTGTCAAGCTCTTCAAATTCAAGTAAATTCGTTTAATTAAACAATATCTTCATGAAACTTTCTCTAAATAGGTTCAACAATGTGACTGTGCCAATATGCTCCAAAACCAATGTGGATGTCAATCTGCTCCAATCTCTTCCTGTAACTGTGGTCAGCTCCAGCAACAGTACTCCAGCTGTGGATGTGGAGCTTTAACATACCAGGTAGTTCTGGCTGAAAAGCTCTGTACACAGTATCCTTTTTAGGTATCCTGTAACCAATGTCAACAACAGCAGCAACCTCAAATCATCGTTGTTCAACAACCTCAACAACAATGTGCTCCAGCTTGCATGCCATCGTGTCAACCTCAATGCGTTCAGCAACAGCAGCAACAGATTATTGTTGTCCAACAGCCACAACAGCAACAATGTGCTCCATCCTGTATGCCAGCCTGTCAACCAACCTGTGTCCAACAGGCTTGTGCTCCAGCTTGCCAGCCAATGTGCTCAAACCAGTGTGTTGAGCAACAGCAACAGCAAATCATTGTCGTTCAACAACCTCAACAACAACAATGTGCCCCATCCTGTATGCCAGCTTGTCTCCCAACTTGCGTTCAAGCTTCTAACTGTGGATCCAACTGTAATCAGCAATCTCCACAAGTTATTGTTGTCCAACAACCACAACAACAGCAACAATGTGCTCCATCCTGTATGCCAGCCTGTCAACCAACCTGTGTTCAACAAGCTTGTGCTCCAGCCTGCCAGCCTATGTGCTCATCTCAATGTGTTGAACAACAACAACAACAAATCATCGTCGTTCAGAAACCCCAGCAACAACAATGTGCTTCATCATGTATGCCCGCCTGTCAACCAACCTGTGTTCAACAAGCCTGTGCTCCAGCTTGTCAACCAATGTGTTCTCAGCAATGCGTTGAGCAACAACAGTCTCAGATCATCGTTGTCCAACAACCAAGCCAACCATCATGCAGCCCAGTTTGTCAACCAGCTTGTCAACCCCAATGTGTTCAACAACAACAAATCTGTGTTGCTGCTTGTGAACCAAGTTGTCAGAGCTCTTGCAGCTCAAATGCTCAATGCGTTCAATCATGTCTCCCATCTTGTGAGGAATCTTGTGTTCAACAAGCTCAACCAGTCATTGTTGTTCAACAATCTCAACCATCATGCCCTCAAGCTTGTCAACCAGCTTGTCAACCACAATGCGTTCAACAACAAACTGTATGCCAATCAGCCTGTCAACCAAGTTGCCAAAGTTCGTGCGGAGGAAACACCCAATGTGTTCAAGCTTGTCTCCCAAGTTGTCAATCATCTTGTTCCGCTCAGCAGCAGCCACAGGTATATATAAAACTTCCCGAGTAGCCTAACAAAAAAATCATCGCCTTCAGATTATTGTAGTTCAGCCACAACAGCAACAGTGTGCTCCAGCTTGTCAACCAGCTTGTCAACCCCAATGTGTCCAGCAACAAAGTATCTGTGTTCAAGCTTGTCAACCAAGTTGTCAATCGAACTGTGGAGGAAACGTACAATGCGTTCAAACGTGTCAAAATAGCTGTGAACAATCATGTGGACAGCAGCAAGTAGTTGTTGTTCAAGCTCAACCAATCTGTGGACAAGCTTGTCAGGTAAGGCTTTCTCTTTGTTCAGATAATTAGCGTACTTTCCATCATTTTCGAGAGAGAGGGAGAGAGAGATAAAGGTAAAGTGAGAGAGAAAGGGGAAGACAGATAGTGGTATGATGAAGAAAGGCGAAACATAAGAAGTGTTTCGTGAAAGTTTTTTGATAAAAGAGAAAGAAAATTGCAAGTTTGTATAGTTTTGAGCAAATGTCTTACATGTCTGGAAGAAAATTGAATGAAAGCATTTGGACAGTGGGTGGAGTGAAGTAAAAATTTATTTGCTTATTTGTACTCAGAATATCGAAGAAAGAGAAAAAAACAATTTCTTTCCCAAATATGAACAGACAGATACTGTCTTTACGTCTCTTCGGTCATCTAAAGGTTGTGAGGAATTACTTGAGCAAACAAAAAGAAAAACCAACAAAAAAAAGAGTCGAGAGAATGTTTTTCTCTCATGATTCTGTGTTCTTCGCGTTCATTTGATCGGAAGAACTCTTCAAAAATACGTCTGTGTTGTTCTTTTATGAGGTTTCTAATGCTTAGAGCGAACCTGCTTTCGGAACTTGAAAGCAGTTGAGAGAAGGGGAAAGAACCTCAAACTCTTTGGTATATACTAATTGATTGTTTTAGGCTCAACCTGTCATGCAATGTGTCCCACAATGCCAGCCAGCATGTCAGCCATCATGTATCGCTCAAGCTCAATATGTTCAAATGCCCGCGATCACCATGTGTAACCAGGTGAGAGTGTAATCATCAGTTAAATACTTGAATATGACTATATCAGGCTTCCAATGGATGTGCATGTGGCAGCGGATACTCACAATGTATGCAAGGAGTTTGCTGTCTCCGAAAACGACACCGTGTTGCTAAGAGCAAAGCTTAAGCTTCTAATACATCAATAAGCTTATCAGAGAACTGTGTCTTTCAAAGTCTTTATCTAGCCATCTAATGCGGTACTCGTTTCTAATAACTTAAATATTCCCTTCATTTTATGTCAAATCAAATCAACTTAATAATCATGACGGTATTCAGCTGTTTCTAAAGAGTGCATACTCTTTATGATCAAAACGGTGAACACCTATCTCACTGGCATCTCTTCATTCGCTTTCATTTCTTATTCAGCCATTTGGGACAACTTTTCATATTCTAGTCTTCTAGATAGCTTGCTCAGTTTCTATTTATTTTGAAACAATTCTGTTTCACTTCTATCTTGAATAATAATCCGCTCACATATCTTCATATAAATTTATTTATTTATTAGAACGATCTTCCATTACAACTTGTATCACGCATATAAACATACATCATACTACATCTACTGTTCCAACCCAAGTGCTTCAATCCAGTGTTCTGTTATCTCAAATGAAATAACAAAGAATTCGCATCAGAGCATGCTACAGTCCTTGAACAAACTACACTCATGCAATAAGATCACTCAATGCGAAGCAACTAATTGCACTATATGAACTCTGACTGAATACACACAGAACTCGATATCTTAATTGTTATAAAAGTTTCAACCGCTCTGTGTCTGCTCTGTTTTCAAAATGAAGTTTACAAGCATAGTCACGTCACGTCACGTAAGGGTCACGTGACGTATACCCTGATATCAAGGATTTATGCTAATGTACGGGTATAAAGCATGCGATCAAGGAAAAAAGTTTTTAATTGTCTCTTCTTACTATATTACATTATTTTACATGTTTACATGAAAACTTAAAATTTCAGAGGTGTTATTGTCACTTCTGGGTCTCGAGGTAAAAGAACAACGCCGTTGATGGGCTTGAAATCTAGAGGATGATCTGGATGTTTCTCAAGCTGAAAGACGAACTGAGGAATTTATCATAAACCCAAACGTACTTTGAAGCTTTGAACCAGAGTTGTCATACAAAGGAATAGCTCGAGTCTAGCTAACCCTTCTCCGGCACACTGTCTTTTACCCAGTGAAAATGGAACTAACTGTTCCGCGACTTCCTATAGAAAACAGATTGATGGTAGCTAGAGCATCTCATTTTACTTTTTTAGTTTTTATTCCGTCTTCTTCCAAGAACCGTTCAGGCGAGAACTTCTCAGGATTAACAAAGACACTAGAAGAAGCATTGATATTCTGAAATAGAAGGGATGGGCGAGGTCTGATATAGAAAGACTAACGTAGATATGAGCGATAATCAATGAGTTCGCTGGAACAAAGTGGTTGAGGACTGAAGTATCTTTGGTGGTCCTATGTATAGCATTGTTGGAAACAATGTTAGCTTTTCTTTGTACTTCATTAATAACAGCACTGGAAGCAGTTTCATCAGCTCTGCTTAGCCTTCTTAGATACTTACTTGCAATATGGAAGTTTTGACTTATCACCCAACGTAGGAGAATTATGACCAAGCACTGATTCGATTTCAGCTCTCATTTTGTCCTAAAGTTTTACAGTATTTCTTGAATTCTTTATAACTTTTACTTGAACATCTTGGTGCTCAGTCAAGAAGAGAATCGCCCAACGTAATGTGGTTGAAGTAGTTTCCATACCAGCAATGTAGAAGTCCATGCAGATATTCAAAAGTTTCTTTTCACTAAGCAAAAAGTAATCCATATTCATTAGTCTGATGCTCACTCATATGTTCCTTCTTTCATTTTTCTCTGATAGTATGACTGGCAGAAGTTATCAGCCTCCACCATCGGATCATATCCTTTCAAAGCAACTTTCACATAACGTTCAACCAATTCGTACATCTAATGGTCAGATATCATTGTTTTCATAGAAACAAAGGTGAGAACAACCTGATCCGCCATGTCTTTGAACTGTCCAGAAGCTTTGTGTCCAAAATATGGGACTTTCTCAAACCCTGGGATCAATCTTGGTAAGAAGATGTATTTGTTTTCCCTAAAAGCAGATTTGTCTGATGATCACAAGAACTGAACTGTCTCAAGGAACGTACTTCATATCCACAAACTCTCCAGTTAACAAGTGACAGAACTTCTTAACTTCTTCACAATCAGTATACTTGTATCGTAGACCGAAAAGGACATTGGATATTACATTGCCCACAAACAGCTGGAATTCTTCAATTTTCTTGATTTTATTTCTCACCGTTCTCACCTGCAATGGCCATCTGAAATTAACTGGAGTGTCTCCAGCGCACATTTCTCTCAGATGACACAGGCAGTCTTCCATGGAAGCCCTCACCTACGACAAAAACAATGAATGATGTCAAAGAAACTCACACACTTGAAAGTCCATTTGTTGGCTCCCCATACCATAATCCCTCAAAATATGCAAGGAGGTTCTCCGAGCGTCTCTCCAATCATCTCCCTGAGAAAATAAAATTGGACAGATGCACTTATCACATACCTCTGAGAACACTATGCCACCATTCTTGATGCATTGGAAAATATCATCGGGAAACAATCCTGACCTTCCAAGATAGTCGTCTCCTGGAGAAAGAATAAATTCAGTTTATACAGTTTACATACAAACCTTTGGTCACGAAAGCATCCTTCATCCCCTCGTAAGTCATGACGCAAACAGTAGGTTGTGGAATGAAAATTGTGAAGACATCTCCATACTGTTTGGATAGTTCTTGGAGATATGTATGAGAGTTTTCAAAGTCAAACTGAGAATTGTAAGTTATGAGAATGTCTGTAACTGGTAACTACCGTCAGAATGTTTCCAACCAAAGGTATAGGTGTGGGGCCTTTGGGATACTTTCCTACCCACCAATAATAATAAGCAACATAAGCAATTGCCAGACAAAACAAGGATACTAAGAAGATAGCAGCCATCTCAAAACAATACAAGAACGTTATAAACTTGTGAAATAAGGACTACCTTGAAAGACGACACGTCAACTTACAACCAACGTGATGAGAGAATAAGTAACTTTTTGGTCGGTCGGCTACATCTCTTCTTTCCTTCCATCTTAAATAGAAAAGAATGATAACAAGTTTTCATGATTGTCACATTCCCATTTTTGAAGCGAAAAAACTTTCAACCTTGGTAGTAGAAACAAGATAAGAAATGTCACTTACTCCTATCACGTAATTTCCAATTGTTCAAAACAGATTGTTGACGACAATTTGTGCGAGTATATGTTTGCAATCACATTCTTGCAGAAATTAACCTAAGAATAAGAAAATTTCATCACAGGCTCATGGATATCATTCTAAAAAATCTAATCCTTGATAAGTACAAGAACATACATTGAAATAATTATATTTCGCAATCTATCATCAACTCTTGTATACATCTGTATCACAGATTCCCTTCCCTTTGTCACATTCCATATCACTCTAATACGTTTCTCTCCTTTATGATGTTCGCTTAATTGAATACAACCGCTCTGTCAATAAAAATAAAATTTGAAACCAGAGTACCGTTATTATAAATACTCGGTATAACTATCAGGTCTTGTTATTCGAGATTTGAGAGCTCTTACGTTGACTATGGTACAATGAGCACACGGTACAACTGCGTGCCCTTGGGGAGAAGAATTTTTTAGGCAAAATATGATTCAGGCCTCGAGCTCCATATGAGTGATCTCTCGAACCTTTTTGGATTTTCTACTTTCTGAACGGTTCTTCATTCTATGGGAAGCAAAAAAAACCTAATTTTCACGCAGAATACGGTTCAGGCCTTACAAGGAATGAAGCCAAAGTTCGTACTATGAGAACCAGCTGATATCAT